AGTGAGTGAGTGAATGAGTGAGTGAGTGAATGAATGAGTGTATGAGTGAGTGTATGAGTGAGTGAGGGAATGAGTGAATGAGTGAGTGAGTGAGTGAGTGAATGAGTGAATGAGTGAGTGGGTCAGTCAGTTAGTGAATGAGTGAGTGAGTGAGTGGGTGAGTCAGTGGGTCAGTCAGTGAACGAATGAGTGAGTGAATGAGTGAATGAGTGAGTGTATGAGTGAGTGAGTAAATGAGTGAATGAGTGAGTGAGTGGGTCAGTCAGTTAGTGAATGAGTGAGTGAGTGAGTGGGTGAGTCAGTGGGTCAGTCAGTGAACGAATGAGTGAGTGAGTGAGTGCTCCGTGGATGAGTGAACGAATGAAGGGATGAACACAGGGCTGGGTCGGCAGGGAAGCAGATGTTGCAGCTGGTGGAGGGAGCAGTGCTCCCTGCAGATGGGCACAGCCTCCTTTGCTCTCCCAGCAGAGCCTGCCCTGTTCCCCGTCCCCCTCCAGCATCCCAGTGTCGTGGGGGCTTCCGGGCTGCCCCCAGTGCACTGCTCTCTGCGAGCCGGCCAGTGTCCGATCGAATCCTGGGGGCTCTTCCCAAGTCCCCCCAAAGAGAAGTAAACAACACGGCCTCCCTCAAAGTCAGAGCGTTCCTTCCATCCACCTGCCCTAGTCCCTCAGCCCAGGTGTGGAGGGCGGCAGGCAGACAGCTGGGATGAGGAGGCTCTGACCCCCCGCCCGGATCGGGTCAGAGGGCAGGGCCCAGGCTGGCAGGCAGGGGCAGTGAATGGTCCGAAGGGCCTCCCTCTCCCTGCCTTTGGACACTCACTGCTCTCTGGGCTGTGCTGTCCCATCCAAGCTCCTGGCCCTGGGTGTCGCTGCCCTGCCTATCTCTGGCCCTGCAGGGCAGGCCATGATCACCAAACGGGGGTGTGAGTGAATGACAGGTTCACTCCTTGAACACTTGCCGTGAGCCCCCTGGTGTCAGCTGCCCGGGGCACCCACCTCCGGGAGGGCAGCCAGGCTCACAGGCTGCTAAGTGCCAAGCTGAGCTTTGGCCCGGGGCCCTCTGACCCCAGACCTGACCCCTCACTGCCCTTCCCTCAGGCCCCTGGCCCGAGACGTGTCATTCAGGAAATTATAACTGATGCATGTTGTAAGTGGCATGTTGCTGGCCTTCCTGGCGATGGGGACAAGTGCAGCCTCCTTCTGGAAGGCCCCAGGCCCCAGGCTCGAGCCGGCTGATGACTGACTGTAGCTGGCTGGGGAGGCCACAGTGCCCTGCGTGGGCGGGAGGCCGAGGCAGACGAGACAAGACGTTCACGGAGTTCAGGACTCTCGCTGTGGCGCCTGACCCAGGCTCCAGGAATGGGGTGGGGGCTGCTGGGCTGCCTCCGGCCTTTTCTGCAGATCTTGCACATGCCGGGCCGTGGCAGGCCCCCCGGGGCCTCCAGGGGCAACACGGCTGCGTCCCTGCTCTGGGGCACGCAGGGAGCTGGATGAGTTGGAACCTGGCCATGGGTGTGAGTGGACAGACGCTGTGGTCTCCTCGCGGGGTGGCCGAGTGACAGATGCCCAGGCTGCTGGGTACAAACCCCTGCTCTGTCCTCTGCTTGCCTGCTTGACATAGGCAAGGAGTTCAGCACCTCTGGGCCTCGGTTTCCCCTCCAGTAAAGTGGAGCCCTGAGAGCTTTGTACCACAGGAGATTTCTGGGGCTGTCGTAACAAAGCACCAAGGACTAGGTGGCCTGAAAGAGCAGAAATTCATTCTCTCAGTCTGGGAGGCCTGAAGTCCTACATTAAGGCGTCAGCAGGGTCGGTTCCCTTGTAAGCTCTGAGAAGCTCTGTTCTTGGCCTCTCTCCTGGCCTCTCCTGGTTTCTGGCAATCCTTGGTCCCCCTTGGTTTGTAGACATTGCGCCCCAGTCCCTGCCTCCGTCATCTCATGGCCTTCGCCTTGTGTCTCTGTCTCAATTTCCCTTTTATAAAGACGCCAGTCCCTGGATTAGGGCCCCGCCTGCTGCAGTCTGACCGTCTTAACTTCATTGCACCTGCAAAGACCATGTTTCCAAGTACGACCGCACTCACAGGTGTCGGGGGCTCAGGGCTTGAACACATCTTTGTAGGGGACACGACCCACCCAGACACCTGCATGCAGGGTGGCCATGAGCATTAAATGCCCTCGTTCCTGGCTCGGAGGGAACTCTCTGTGGCGTTAGCTGTTGTCCCAGTGCTACAGGCCGAGGCGACACTTCTGTATTTTGCGGAGACTGTGCTCGACGTTCCCACCCGTTCTGTTCTGTCTCTCACGTATGGTTCTGGGCTCATCTCTACTAAGCAGCCTTAGGGACTGAGTACTTGCTCTGTTGCCGGCCCTGTGCAGGGGTCCCAAAGACACCCCGTCCTAAGGTCCCAAGCTGCGTGTGGCATTCCTCCTTCCTCCCGGCTGTGGTGAGGGCTGGGACGGTCTCCCATTAACAAACACCAATGGCAGAGCCCGCACCGGCTGTGTTGCCCATTCAGTCCCGTTTTACAGAGAGAGTTGCTGAGGCTGGTGTCACCCTGTGCCTGTGAGCCGCTGTCCGTCGGGGTGTCCAGCACTCGTCGCTCTGTGTCTGCCTGGTCTGGGATTCACAGGGCAGAGCCTGCCACCAGCACTGCCGAATTTGGGGCTTCAGGCAGCCAGCCAGGGTGAAGGTGGGGGTGGGGGTGGAGAGAATAATAAGCCTCTCACCCCCCACCCCTGAGCTCACCCCTCTGCATGGTTGGAGACCTGCCCCTGGCTCTTCAGGGACCCCCCATTCGTGGGCACCTGCTGCTGGCAGCTCTGGTGGGTGCTGTACGTGTGTTGGTGCGTTTCCCTCCTGAGGGACCACATCGAAATGTCTAAAGTGCCACCGGGCAGCGCCACTCAGTGGGTGTTGTCATCCCATTTCCTCAGTGGGGAGACTGAGGCTCAGGGAGCTTAAATGACTGCCTAAGGCCAGGCAGTTAATTAGTGGGGATTGGGCTTATGATTGGAATCCTGGCCTGTCTGGCTCTGGCGCTCCGCAGCCAGGGTGGTGAGTGTGTGCTGAGTCGTCTGACACTCAGGGGTGTCCCGTCTCATCAGAGATGGGCATCATTACCTCTTTATGGCTGTGGAATAGGTCCAGGCTTAAGTGGCTTGTGAGTGGCCGAGCCGGGATTCAAACCAGGGCCCAAGGGACTCTAAACCCACGTTCTTGCACCCTGGCCACTGGGCCAGACCCCTAGCTCGAGTCTCCCACTGAGTGCCCTGTGCTTGCCTGCCTGCAGACACCCTCTGTTTGGCCGCAACGTGCCGCTGTCCAGCGGCTCAGGCTTCATCATGTCGGAGGCTGGCTTGATCGTCACCAATGCCCACGTGGTGTCCAGCACCAACGCAGTCTCGGGCAGGCAGCAGCTGAAGGTGCAGCTGCAGAACGGAGACTCCTATGAGGCTACGATCAAGGACATCGACAAGAAGTCCGACATCGCCACCATCAAGATCCATCCCAAAGTGAGTGGCACGGGCTGCCACGGGGCCTCTTCCCCAGACTCCAGACCCCAGGATGTGCTAGCCCACTTTCCCAGGGGACGCTTGGAGGAACTGAGGCCCAGATGGGCCTGGCAGCTTGCTCAGGGTCAGGGGTCAAGTTGGGCCTGGAATCTGGGTCTCTGGGCCCCAGACTGCACCCCCTGAGCCGCCAGGTGCAGGGCAGAGTCAGGAGCAGGTGGCCCACAGCAGGAGGCCCACACTGCTCCTCCAAGGAGGTTTTTCATTGTTCCCCCACCCCAGGCCTACTCCCGGGTATGCAGCTGTCCCTACGGGGTGGCAGAGGGGACAGTGCCCCGTTCCTCTGTCTCCACGTCGGCGCCTCCTATACTGGGGCCGAAGTAATCCTCCCATCACTACCACCAGCCGTTTCTGGAAGGCCTGCTCTGGGCCAGGCGCTGGCCTGTGCATACAATTCTCACCACGTCCTGCGAGGAAGGGCCCTCATTATCCTGGGATTTCAGATGGGGAAACTGAGGCTCAGGGAGATTAGGGAACATACCCAAGATCACAGCTAACCAGGGCGGGGCCGGCACACTCGGCTAGGACCCAGGCCTCCCTCCAGCTTGCTCTAGTCATGCCCAATGTTGCAATTATGTTGCTGTAGGTGGCCGAAGTGGGGTTACTTGGGGCCTCTCCACACACACCATGAGGTGGCATGGGGAGGACCGGCTTACCCTTTCCCAGCTCGCAGCCTCCCTGGGAGTTTCAGACATCATCGTCTGTCACTTTGTGGCCACTCAGCATTTAAAAATGTCGCCTCTCTGGGGTCCTCGCCTTCCAGATGCGCGGGCCTTTTTCCTCAGCAGGGACCTCTGTGTCATGGGCTGAAGCTTCACTTTTCCCCGCGGCACGGAGAACACCACTCCCACTGGTAGATTTTGCTTTTCTTTTGTTGATAGCTATTATGAAAAACACCTCTTAAGTAAAAACTTCCTCATTCGACGTGGTGACAAACAACAAAAGGGAAAAGAGCAGTGGCCGGAGGGAATGGGGCCATCCACAGGGTCCGAGGTTTGGGGACCAGAGTTGGAGTGAGGCCCATTGGCCTGGCTGTCCGCAGACCCACGGCTAGCTGCAGAGTAGTGCAAGAGGTCCCCAGACCCTTCCCCAGCTTCTCCCAGGGACTGGTGCAAAACCGGAAGCAGGAGACCGATGTGGGTGCGACTGACAGAGCTTTGCCCTCGCCGATTTCACATGCACGCACGTGGTTTCTGCACCTCTGACAGGTGCCCAGGCACCTCCTTGGAGCACACTCCATGCAGCTTCCAGCACCCAGAGCACGGCTACTCTGCACTCCCAGGCTAGGTGTAGAGTCAGACAGACAGACAGGCTCCGCTGGTCCCACTCGAAAGCAAGAGAAGAGTGTGCAGGTGTCTCAGTGGCGGGGGAGGCGGGGGGAGGTGGAGCTTGGCTAGGTCACTTTGCCTCTCTGGGCCTCAGTCTCTCTGGGTGTCTATATTGGGAGATCAGATCGAGCTGGTTCAAGGATTCCAAAACCGAGGCTCCCAGGGTCCTTAGCTGGGCTCCAGTGGCCTGCAGAGCTCCCCCTCAAATATGGCAGTTTGTGCGTGATGCATGTGGCACAGTGCTGTCCGGAGCTTCTACCAGCTTTTCAGAGGGACCAGGGACCACTGGGCTCGGGGACCTCCGAGGCCATGTACAGCTGGACTCTCTGCACACCTGCCCACGATGGATACGTGTGGCCTGCCCTGGGGAGACCTTTTTTCGTTGGCACAGCTGAGCCTCTGCTCCCTGGACTCCAGCCCTGGGTCTCAGCTGGAGGCTGTCCTGGCCTTGGTCTGCACGGGTGACTTGCCTGGGCCTTTACCCCTGAGGGCTGTATATAGCTGCACCTGCCTTCCCTGGGACCACCTGCCAGGATCTCAGCCTGGTCCCTGCCGCAGGTGGACGGCTGAGTCTCCCTCTCTGTGTCTTCTCCTTCTGTCCCCTAGAAAAAGCTCCCCGTGTTGCTTCTGGGTCACTCAGCAGACCTGCGGCCTGGCGAGTTTGTGGTGGCCATCGGCAGCCCCTTTGCCCTGCAGAACACTGTGACAACGGGCATTGTCAGCACCGCCCAGAGGGACGGCAAGGAGCTGGGCCTCCGGGACTCGGACATGGACTACATCCAGACAGACGCCATCATCAACGTGAGTGCTGGGGCGGGAGGCTGGTGCCCACCACATGTGCCCAAGACCTCGAGGTGGTCTCTGCCTAGGCTTGCTCCATCCCCAGAACTGTCCCATCACTCGACACATCTGCCTGCTGGAAAGTTCTTTCTTTACATTAAGTAGAGGTCAGACCCTGTGCCTTCTACCCAGGCACGCTGGGAGTGACAGGTGCCGCCCTTCAGAGATGAGAGGCAAGGCCATGGCCCCTAGACACCTCCGTGCAGATGACACTCCCTAGACAACATTGCTTCTCATGACTGTAGTTATGTTGGCTGGCACCTTTGCATTCACAGAGCACTTTGCCCAGATGCCCCAGAAGTCCCCCTGGCTTGCTGTGGCCTGGGCACTCTGCCGGAACCTTGGTCTTTGTAGAGACTCCCCAGGCCAGCAGGACAAGAAGTAGCGCCCTGTTCTGCATTCTCCCCATTGGTGCTACTCATCCCTCGATAGGGGAGACACTAAAGCACATGGTGTGGGTAGAGAGCACTAGCTGGTCCAACCCAGGTCATTGGGTGACATCCACTTGGCCTCTGTGGGCCTTGGCTTTCTTACTGTGAAGGGGGGACAGCATGAGGCCTTTTGATGCTGTTGGGCTGAGACCTGATGATGTGTCTCTTACACTGGTTCGAGTGAGAGCTGGGGGAGCTCCAGGAACCTTCAGGCAGGGCTCGAGCACAGCTAACGCCCTGTTTCCTCCCCTTGCAGTATGGGAATTCCGGGGGACCGCTGGTGAACCTGGTAAGTGTGCCCTAGACCAGAGTCTCTGCTTTTCTGGGGCTCTTCTCATATGGGGGGACATAGCCTCGAGGTGGGACAGGACCCACCAAATGGCCCTGGAACCTTCAGGCCCAACGGTCAGGAACGTGGCTGGGCTGGAGGCCTGGAAGGAGGGCAGGACCCTCCCCATGTGCCACCTGTGCCCCTCAGAGATGCTGGCAGCCGTCAGGAATGACAGATCACCTGCGAACAGCAGCCCAGGCCCGGGCAGGGGAGATGCAGGCGTGCAGCCGCTCACCCCCGGGACTTCCTGCCCTCAGGTTTGCGAGCAAGATGAGAGGAGCACCCTCGTTCTCTTCCACTCCCTCAATCATCCCTCCCCAGTTCTGTTCTGGGCCCCAAAGTTAGGCTCATCCTCATCCCAGGTGAGATTTTTTGGGAATAAAACAGGAAGTTCAGAGCTGCCTGGACACAGTCCCAGCCTCAGGCAGAAAGTGGCCAGACATGGACAAGCCCTGGTGTGATGTGAACAGCTCGAGCCCGCTCTGGAGGGAGCCGGGCGGGGAGGCTTCCAGCCGATGCAAGACCAGGAAGGGCTTCCTGGAGGCGGGAATGTCTAACATAGGCCACGGAGACTGAGGGAATTGGGTCCAGGAGAAGGAACTCCCAGGGAGGAGGCATAGTGTGAGCTCGGGGGAGGCTTTGAGGGGAGAGGTCAGATGAGCAGATGGTGCGAGGGGCTGGCAGCCCCCCTTCCTGGTAGGCCTCAGGCCACATGTGCAGACAGGCCTCACCCTGCACTCCTGAGAACCCTTGTGGGCTTTCGGCAGGGCGCAGGGCATGAGCCAGCTGGTTTTTAGAAAGCTCATGTGGGTGGCTTAGCTGGAGGCCCGGAAGCCAGGGTTAGGAGGCCGCTACACGCCATGTGGGCCTGAGGATGGGCAAACAGGGTGAGGGTGAACGCAGAATCTCCATCCCCCAGATCCAACACTCTTGGATCCTCCCATCTCATGAGCTCCCAGGGACCAGGAGGACAGGGGTGCCCTGGTCCAAGGCTCTGCCCGAGGCCCCAAAGGGGTCCCCTGGTGAGCTGGCCAGGCCCTGGCAGGGTGTCAGCCCCTTAACCCCTCTGTGGCCGGGAGGGTCTCCTTCCCAGGAGTTGCTGAGGGTGAGGTCCCAGTCCCAGGCAGATCCTGCCAGATGGCACCAGCCTTCTGCGGGACCAGGGCAGGCAGGGAGGGGGAGAGCAGGGCAGGGTGGAGCTGGAGGCAGCTCCAATAAGACAGAGTGAGGGAAGCCACTGGCCCCACTCACCCCCAACTTCTGAAAGGAGGGGTAGAGGGGCCACCCCTCTGGATGTGGCCTGGAGGTGCCACAGCCCAGTGGGCACTGCTTCTCAGGGCGTAGTGGCTGGAGCCTGGGAGGCAGGCCCCAGCTCCGAGCTTCCCCACGACACTTTCCAGGAAGGGGATGTAGGGTCACTGATACAGATGTGGCCCCAAGAGCGACCTTTCCAGGACAATTGGGGCTGCCCGAGGAGCTTCTCAGGTGGGGTGTGGACAGCCAGGGCCTCTGGAAGCAGAGCTGTAGACATGGTGCTCTGTGGGCAGCGGTTTGCTTGGGCCCCCCCGTGACCCCACTCTGACCTCCCTGCCCAGGATGGTGAGGTCATTGGCATCAACACGCTCAAGGTTGCTGCTGGCATCTCCTTTGCCATCCCCTCAGACCGCATCACACGCTTCCTCACAGAGTTCCAAGACAAGCAGATCAAAGGTAAAGAGCTCACCTGGGGGGCAGCTAAGGTGGGGGACACTCTCCCAGGGCTGAGACCCCCCTTTCAGCTCTGGGACCAGGGCCCATCACAGGTTCTGTGTGAGCTTGTTCACATCCATTCTTCTATCCTCCCATCCTCCCATCCATCCATCCTCCCATTCATCCATCCACCCACCCATCCACCCATCCATCCATCCATCCATCCACCCATCCACCTATCCATTCATCCATCCATCCACCCATCCACCTATCCATCCATTCATCCATCCA